AATAAGTTTAGTCACCGTGGGGACTTAAAATGACTCAACTTTTTCAGGTGCCCTGACGAAAGGACAAAGGGAATGATGCAGAAGGCACAGCTTGAAGGAAATGACTGATGTTTATCCACTAGGAAGCCTGGAGTGGATGTGGCCTTACACAGTGGAGATCTTCTCCTCGTCTTGGATCCATCACCTGAATCTCGACACCACCCCAAACCCAAGGCATTGTCCAGACCCTAATTCTGAGCTTTGTCTCTCAATGAATAAAGTCAATCCTTATGAAAGTGGTCCCATGTAATTTGCATTCTCAGTGAATAAAACCTAAACTTATGTTTACTACAAATCAGTCCTCCTTATACCTTTATTCTGATCTCTGTTCCTCTGTAAATAAGAAGCCACTTTTAGGGTAAAGGTCACAGGTGTCTCGCCAAAGTGATGTCCTTTGCAAAGGAGTTCCAGTGTAGATGTGGTTAAAGCTTTGCTGTCACGATGTTGAGATGGAGTCCATTTCCCAAAGTTTAATTGTGTTTTAATTTGTAAGGAAAATAAATTGCTTGGTCAAACTCAAGAAATTTTGAACCAGTACTAGCTAAAGTGGTATTGGCCCGAGTCTCATTCTTAACTTCATGTGGATACTTTCCGTACCAGCAATAAAGCTTGGAGGAACAAACACAGTGTGGGACTTGGTCCTAGGAGAAGTTAAGGAAGTTTTTCTTTAAGTAGAAATTCGGGCAAACTGACAAAACTCACTTAAATGGTCCATAATCTTTAATGAGAGATTGGAAGAAATACAGGTTCTTCTCAGGACCTTGTGACAGTGTTTATACACTTAGTGAAATATTATCCTGATCCAGACAGTGAAATATTCAGAGCAATACCTCTTCTACTTTAATCCCATAAGAACTAATATAACAAGACCCCATGAAGGAGGATAGAAAAATACTTCTCAATCATTTTTGTAAACAAGAAGAATGAGAATCAAAGAAAACAAGAGAAAACATACAAACATATACATGTATACAAAATAAACAAGCAAACAAAAAATAACATTTTTCCCTTGCTGGAAACATCTTGGGAGGTCACAGCAAGGCTCAATATATCAACTAGTTGCTTGGCTACCAGGCCAGCCATGTTTGTTTAGTCTTCCTAAGCAATTTGATTGAAAGTCAAAGTCCCCTGGCCACATGGCCTTTTCTCCTACTGGGATAGAGAGAGTGGCCTTTGTAACACCCCAGTTCCTAGAAAGGTTTCGCAGGGCATTGCAAGTACACCATAGGCCAACATGGCTGCCCCATTGTTTAGATTTTATGGTTGCTTTTATCTTCTGATTCTATTTTATTTTATTTTTCCTGAATAGTGGCAATAATTCAGTATACATTAATATTCCATTCATGGGGTTAGATTGAAATGGGGAAAAATTAAAAGCTCTAGTAGCAAAACATTAAATTAGGACATAAAAGACTTAAGCTGACACTGTTTAAATTCCCTGAGCTACCAGTCCTGCACTATATAAATAATATTCTCTTCTCATACTCATCTGGCAAATCTATATTCACATGAGTGCTTAACTTTCACAGCAAATAAACTAAAATGGCAAAATTTATAATATTCTGAAATTTCAAACAGGTAAATGCTAATCTATCACTACCAATGACTTTGGCTCTGCTCTTTAAGTCGCTTTCTGAAAACTTGGCTACTAAAAACCATAACAGCTGAAAGAAAGCAGGTTATTAGCTTCTGAAGTAATGCTGTTGGATAGTTTATAGATTCAGTCCCTTATTGGTAAAGAACCTCAGTGATTATCACACCACAGAGAAAATGCAGGATGGATATTTATTCTGTACTAATAATTGCCAGGTTGCAGTGTCATCTGACTCAGGATCTATAATCACTGTGTGGTATGAGCAGGCATGGCCCCCATGGATTCTTGTGTTTGAATGCTTGGCCCATGGGAAGTGGCACTATTAAGAGGTGTGGCATTGCTAGTGTGTCACTGTGGAGTCAGGCTTTCAGGTCTCATACATGCTCAAGCATACATGGCTGCCTAAGGGTCAAGATGTAGAATTCTCAGGTCCTTCTCCAGCACCATGTCTGTCTGCATGCCACCTACCATGATGATAATGGATCAAAACTTCTGAACCATAAGCTCATCCCAAATAAATATCTTCCTTTGTAAGAATTATCATGGTCATGGGGTCTATTCACAGCAACAGAAACTGTAACTAAGGTAATCACTATCCAAAAGATATTATCTAAGATTTAAAAAAAAAAATACTCCATAGGTTTTGCTTAAAATTACATCTAAAAATTTTATAATCATCATGTTTAATGCTTCTTTATATGGCTTTCTGAAAAAACAAGGGGGCCTAAATTTTATATACAGATTGTACATATCCCACAGAAAATATTTTACCCACTCCTAGGTTGTACAGCTCAACAATCAAAAGTTGCCATTATCAATCAACCTTGATAAGTATTTTCCAATATTCACTATTTTTACTAACCTCATGTATAAATTAGCACATAAAGCTTAGAAATCTCTCTCTCTTCTCTATAAATTCTTAATCTCAGGATTAATAAATTCATTGGTATGGTGAAAAAAATAACAAATTTAGCTTGATGCTTGTAAAAATATGCTGATAGTTAAACCAATTAATAAGAAATTTTCATTTACTACAGTATACTACAAATATGATTCAACTCTTGTTCAGGAATATAGGACTATAACAAAACACTGCAAAAAATAAGAAGTTTTTAAATAGTAGCGACGTGGTTTACTTCCATCTGGACTGATAACCTCATCAGGATGAAAGCAACCATGTGTTCAGAAGTCATCTTTAGAAAAATTGAAGAACACACACCATTGACTTCACCATCATTTGGATTGAGATGACTATGATGTATAAAACCAACTACGCAGCACCTATAAAACTTCCTAGTACAACTGTCCCCTTTATGTTTTATTGTAATTTTTTATAAACCAAACTGTCAACAGCAGGTCTCTAATGTATTTTAGATTAGAATGGATTGTATATACCAATAAATTCCTAAGATTATACTGATTATTCAAGTTGACAAAAAGCTGACTGAGAGATGTATGTCAACAGTTTAGGTCTTTGTTAAGTATAAGTTTAAACACTTATTTCTTTGTTAACACTAGACTTCTAAAATTTTTAAAATAAAAAAAAAACAAGGTATGTTTTATAAGTGAGGCCTAAATTCCTAAGGTCTACTCAGACTAGCAGAAACCAACTTAAAAATATATGACTAGTATTTTAGTCTTTACAAACTAGAATTACATTTTAAAGTTTTACTTCACTGCTAAGAGATCGTCAATTCAAAATTTTAAGGCCCAAGCTTAACAGGGATAAAACTGTAAAATCCTCATTTTATAGAAGCTACTAACTTATTATAAATTGTGAAAGATAATTAAAACACACAAGTTAATGGTCAGTCACCTTAGAGATGATTCAATTCTTCCATGTGCTCAGAAGTATGTAGTTAAACTTAGCAAAAATGTAATTCATTTATGAGAACAAGTTTTAGTCTTCCATACATGTTTTCAAATAGAGAAGTAAATACAAAGAAAGTTTGTGTAAATTCAGGCACACTTAATAGATGGTCCTCAAAATCCTTAGCAATCCATTGAATATGACATTTAAAACATTTATTAATTGATACAGAGGCCATCTGGATTATACTTCCTGCTCTAACTTTTCCTTCTCCGATCTTTGATGTTGAAGGAAAACTGTAGAGTTATCCACTTAACAGCAACATCAAAAAAATAAATGAATAAATACCATGTCTCTTTATTTTGGATTTTTGAGACAGGGTTTCTCCGTAGCTTTGGAGCATGTCCTGGAACTAGCTCTTGTGGACCAGACTGGCCATGAACTCAGAGATCTACTTACCTCTGCCTCTCAAGTGCTATGATTAAAGGTGTGCACCACTGTAGTCTTGCTAATACTGATGTTCTTTCCTGGCACAAAAATTTAAAATAACAAAGTAATCAGATTTGAGATAGAAATGAAAAAAACTAATAAGGAGTAAAAGGAATTTATAAAAAATTAAAAGTATTTCCTCTGGGCAATATGATGCTAAAGAAATGCAAAGATAATGGCATGTTCTCGAAATTTCCTTAGAGGCCAAAAAGGTTGAACAGAAATTACAAGTTTGGAAGTTAAAATTTCTTCAGATTTTCACCTCTAGTTATTTTTGATACAGCCTGAGAATCTGTTCCATCAGACAATCTTCAGGATGCAGTAAACACAAACGCCTGCCCGCTAGTTTTTCCTCCACGGAACAGTTATGCATTGAGATTGTTCACATTTTTTTATCATTTACAATAGCAGCTGGACATATATACTTTAATGTTCACTTTAAAAAATATTTTCTGCTTCAGAATTTTCTATTTTTCTCACAATTTCTATGTATCCTGTTATCTAATAGGAGAGAATACCTGAGCTTCAAATTTAAATTGTCCTAACTATTAAAGACTTATAAGTGATCAGACTCTGGCAAGGGAGGAGATTAAAGGGGGCTCACAAACACCTACCCTCTAAGAAAGGAATCATTTTCTACAGTATAAAGGCATTATTTTATTCCAAGCTTCTAGTGCACAACTAGTAATAAAGAGACGTTAGCTTGATGTCTGAAACTATGTCTGTCTATGTACTGAACCTTCTCTGTGGTGAGTTTTGCAGGGATCTGTGATAAAATTCACTATGGTCATGTATAGCATCTCTCCCTGACTAGTCAGCTATAGAACACAGTACATAGGTTTGGGAGCTCCAGTAAAATAATCGTCGTGTCCTATCTGGAATTTGACTTTGTCAAATAACACTAAGCATGCCCTTCCTAGGTCTCTCATTATAACCAAATGCTAATACCGCGCAGTAGTAGGGACCAGAAACTCCCCTTTCTTCTCTAGACCAATGAGAATCCTGACTACAGCCACTGAGAGTCAGCTGGTAGCAGCAGGCTTCCCAGGGCGAGCTGGAAAGTGAGCTCCCGGCACAGCCTCGGGGGCCGCAGCCGACCCTCCCGGTCCGGGAGCGAGATCCCGGGCGGACTGGAGCAGCAGGAGACCCAGCACCGACCCCATCGCCCTCTCCCTGGCGCGGACCTAAATCCTGACTGGATGGCGCAGCCTAGGTAGGAACAGCAAATCCAAAGCTTCTTCCTGCTTCCCATGGGCCCCGTGTCCACTCCTTGGAAGGACCTACCGGCTCCCTCTGCACGATCCCTCAGACCTGCTGGGCTGCCCTGCACCCCGAACCAACCTGCGCTCAGAGATGCAACCCCAGCAGGGTAGTAAAACACTGGAGTCCAAATTGGAGGGGGAAGCGCGGGGGGTGGAAGGAAATCAGAAGGCGACAGTGCGAGCCTTGCTCGTGACGTCATAATGACTGAAACTACATTTCCCATAAGTCCGCGGACTAGAGCTGGCGGGTAGCATGTGGCCTTTGGAAAGAATCGCCACAAGCAAGGATGCTAAAGGGTGACTCCCTGGTAGTCAGGCTGCTTTTAAAATCCTCAGTGAATGGAGGCCTCGCAGCAATGTTTATTACATTTACTAGTCATTTTTTTGTTACTTTACTGTAATTTAACACACAGGTCTGATTGTTTTAGAAATTTACTCCAGAGAAAAACATTCATTTTGAGATAATTATAAGAAATTCACTCGGGAAAGTCACTGCCAAGTCTTTGAAATGAAATATGAGTAGAGGTCTGGTGGCCATGGTGTCTGCCTCTCATGAGAAGAGGCCCAGGGATCAGGGCTCCAAGGCCACCTGATCTCCAGGGTGAGTTCAAAGCAAGCCTGGGCAACTTAAGAAATGCATGTGTATTCCAGGAGGTGGTGGTGTTTACACTGTTCAAGGCCTGCCTGGTCTACAGCTCGAGTTCTTGAAACACAAGGAATACACAGAGAAACCCGGTGCGTGTGTACGTGTGTGTGCGCGTGTGCGAGCATGTATGGGGGGGAGAAGGCAGAAAGGAAGAGAGAGAGAGAGGAAAGAAGGCAGAAATAAAGATCAAAGAAAGAATTAAAAAAGAAAGAAGCAAGAGAAAGGAAGAAAGAAAGAAAGAAGAAAGAAAGAAAGAAAGAAAGAAAGAAAGAAAGAAAGAAAGAAAGAAAGAAAGAAAAAAGAAAGAAAGAAAGTCAGTCTTGTAATGAAATAAAAGAACAAAAATGAATGGGAGGTAGCTGGTGATGGTGCAGGTTCCTTAAAGCCAGGAGGTCCTGGGTGTGGCACACAGCACTAAAAAGAGCAACACAACAAAATGAAAGAAAGGCTTGTGGAGGCTGGTGAGTGGAAAGAGCATTCTTCTGCTGCAGTGTCTGGTGGGGAGGGGGGTTCTTGATTCCTTGTTTTTCTGGCAGATGAAGAGTTAAAAGGGAAAATATCCCAACTGCAACATGTAACTTAATGGGAAAATATCAACCAGGGCAGGGAGAATCCACAGGAAAAGAAGGGTTTGCTTAGGGCTGAGGAAACACAAACACAGCAGGCTAGGCACAGAGAGGAATCCTCTGCTGAGCTGAGGCACCATAGGAGCCTGACTCCTGTCTCCCCAGGCAGGGCTTTGGAATGCTTTTGAGGAAACTTCCTCCCTGAGGCTGAGTTGATGAGCTTGGTGAAGGTGGTAGTAGGGCCACAACTTTGGGGTAAACATGTCTTCATCCTTTAACGTGTGGGGCTTGACCATCAGCAGGAGGGTACTGCTGGCAGAGGAATAGCCAGCCAGTCTGCTGTTTGAAGCCACCAGGCTTTTGTCTCTTTTCTTTCTCTATGGTATTTATTTGCTTCCTCTTGAAGGACCTTATCATGTGCATAAAGTTTATTTTAAGGTCTTTTATTTGTGCCTCAACTCTATTCAGGGCCTGTTATGGTAGGGTTGCTGCTATAGTGGAGACATTGTCCTGGCTTTTGTTCATTGTGTTTTTGAATTCGCATCTGGGCATCTGGCATTGAGAAGATTGTAATTCTTGGTTCTGACATTGTCTTGTTTTAAGTGAGTACATGCTTTGTTTCTTGCTTTCTGTTTTCTCTCTGGCTCTTAAGGGATTGGCAAATAGGAAGAGTGCCTTTGGTCCTGATAGTTATGGGAACTCGGGGTTCAAAGTAAAATGTGGTTTTGTGCATTGGGACCTGAGACTTAGACACCAGGAAGGGTTGGTAGTGGAGGAGAATCATCAGAAGAGGGAGAAATGCAGGGTGTTTCCCAGGATCTTCATAGTCAGGTTCCAGAGTGTGTGCTAAGACAAGGCTGGGAGATTGTTCTTGGAGGGATGGAGGGAGAAGGAGCAACTGCAGTTGGCCTATCTCCCAAATCAGAGTGAACTGGTTCCCAGGGAGTGCCTGCTGGAGTTGTGGAGGAATGGGAAAGAAAGTCTGAAGGGAGAGAGCTTAGGAGGGGAAGAACTGGGCACTCCTCTAGAACTGAGGTGGTGGATGGGCTACAGCAAGTGTTCTGATGCAGAGCTGGGGGGGATAATGGAGGAGAGGGCTGGAAGCCTTGAAGGGAGAGGTGAAGATGTGCAGTTAGTCCACCTGCTTCGCTGGCTGTAGTGCCATGTGGGTTCCCAAAAGTGCCTGCTGGAGTTGGGGAGTAGGGTAAGGCAGTGAGTATGGTGAGACATGGGTCAGGAGGTCATATCTGTGTAATCCACTGGAGATGGGGGCAGCGAAGAATGGGACACCTCCGCAGATGGTCTTCTACAGAGCTAGAGAAGAAACTGGGCTATTGGGTATGAGGAGCTAAAATAGAGGGGGAATCCGTGAGTATATTTGGTTTATAAATAAAGCCTGCCTATAGATCAGAGGGCAGACCTAGGCACTAGGTAACCATAGGAAACTGGAAGTGATACGGCAGAGAGAGAAATATAAGGCAGGAGGAGACAGGAAGTCATCCCTGTTCAGCTGAGGAGTTTGCCAAGTGAGAGTTAGCTGTAGTTTGCACTTTCACACTCTGATCTCTCAGCATTTGCCCTGATACCTGGCTCCAGGTTTTATTATTAAAACCAATTAGAAAGCGTACAACAATTGGTACTCAACAGTTCAGCCTAAATTCATGAAATTAACCAAAAGGAATAAAATCTGACAGATGGGTTTTGTAGAATTTAGAGAACTAATATATGTACACCACGCTGTTGATCCCTATTCCAGAAATAAATGGGCAGCTGCTTTAAGTTCAGAAAAGACTAATTTGGTAATCACATTGGCTAGAAGTTATGGCCATCGTTGGTACACCTGTATGAATAAAGACTGGCAAGGCTCCAGCACATGTCTCTAGTGAAATGAAACAGGTTTTTGCTTTTTACAATACAATGCATATTTCCACACATTATTACAGGGCAAGCAGTTACAGAAAGATCAAATCAAACTTGAAGGATATTTTAAATAAAGAGAAAGGGATATCAAACAAAGGCCCCCATAAACAGATTGCATAATGCTTTATTAACTTTGAATTTACTAAATGCTAATAACAAAGGAACAATGTGGAGAAACATAGGATAATATGAAAAACCATGGAATTAAATTAGCTGGTATACTTTAAGGATGTGTTGACCTCAGAATGGACACCAGGACATGTGTTACATTTGGGAAGAGCTTTTCTTTTCTTTTTTTTTTTTCTACAGGAGAAGAAAAGCTATAGTACCTTCACAATTGAACAATAGATACCTCTTAATTAGAAGACATGATAGTTCATCAAAGAACATGGTCATTTCATCTAAACGAATGTATACAATTAACAAAAAGCTGTTCATTGGTTAGATATAACTTGCCAAAAGGGAACTTCTCTAAAATTAAGATGGGAAAGGGTTTGTTTTTGTGTTTTCCGGAATATGAATATATCCACCTAAGTGATCTGAAGACCACTGTGGACTCGAGTAATAATCATCTCAGTGTTCTGCTTCAAAATGGAAGGAAGTTCAAGGCAGATACCACTGATATTCAAATCGTGTCAAGAACTACAATGTGAGGATCAAAAGAGAGAGAGAGGATAATCGATAAGGAGAACAGACCAGAAGAGTACACTCTTCAGTGTGATCCCAGGAGCTCTGCCCCTCCTTTTGGGAGCAGGGCAGAAGCAGAAATCATTTGCTCAGGAACACCAGCTGGTGCCTAAGCCCTCGAGTTTGTAGAAAGACGGGGAGAAGTAGGTTAGATGGCTGTGGTAGATGTGACACAAAATTTATATTTGTCACAAATTAATGGGATAAAGAGTGGACAAGGGATGTGCAGAAAATTCTTCAGAAGGATTCCGAAAGTTCATTGCAAGTGAATGTCAGAGATTTGTAGTTTTTACTTTGTTCGATGGTTTTAAACATCTCCGTGGCCCTGACCCCATGCCCTTCACTGCATGGATTCAACGTGCACGTGCCAACTATCGCTGTCAGCAAATGAGAAAGGGATTACTTATTTCTTTGTATTATTGGGTTTTAAACCAAAACCACCTTCCTTAGAGTCAAGTGTTATAGCCCTTACCTGAAGCTAGTCCACCCTGTCCATACTCACAGGGTGCTCAGATCGCAGGACTGGAACAACCTGATCCCTTGTTGTCCCCTTAAACAAGCCAATTTCCTTCTCCACCAGCAAGCAGTTGGGCAGGAGCCCAGGCATTGTACAAAACACCTTCAGTGGGCTCCAAGAAGTCTTTCGCGCTGACTCATGGGAAATGTAGTCTGGATCAGGATGACAACACAGGAAAGGGCTGTGGATCCAGAACCTCCATGTTCAGTCTTCAAATTTAGCTTCTCCCTAAAGTTAGGTGAGAGTCCTGCTCAGCGCTGGACTTGGATCTCTGACGTGGAGGTTGGTGCAGGGTTCAGCGCCGTCCGACAGATCTGAGGGACTGTGCAAGGTGGCGGGTCCGGCGTGGAGGGAGCTGACTTGGGCTGCTTAGCAGGGAGGCAGGAGAAGCTGACCTGGAGGTGTTGTGCTGAGCTAGGCTGGGCCACTGCACTCGGGAGAGGGCGCCACGCCAAAGCCATGTGCTGTGAGTATCCAGTCTCCTAGGACGCCCCTGCTTTCTGAGCCCGCCCGTGCTTCTGGTGGTTGAGGAGCTGAAGGAAGCTCACTTTCCTGCTTGGGAATATAATTTGTTAAAGATTTTTATATTATCCTTGTCCTTCAGGTATGGCAGATAGTTTTGTTATGCGTAGTAGCTTATGTTGGCTGTCATGGTCTTTTAAGACTAGGAGTGCATTTTTCCAGTCCCTTCTGCATTCCAAATTTTCCTTTGAGAAATCCACTCTTATCGCTAGGGACATGTGTTTTCACTTGCAGCTTTCTGCTACTGAGCCATCTCTCCAGCGTCCGCAGTACTCTTTTGTAGACTCTCCCTCTCAGGATGGTTCTCAGGATCTTCTGCCGTTCACTTTCCTTAATGATGAGTTCTGTGCGACGTCACACCACTGCATCAGACTTATGTTAGGGTATTGCTCGCGTGTGCTCGAAGGGCGTCTAGCTCTCTTCTCACTCTGGGTGACCTTTAGATTTATATACAGAAGTGCATATAACTGTTTTAATTCATATTTTTACTGCTGTTTTAAATAGTTTAATATTTAATAGTCATTCCTTTTCTTTGTTTCAGGAAATGCTGTCTTTCAGGGATGTGGCCATTGATTTCTCTGCAGAGGAGTGGGAATTGCTGGACCCTGGTCAGTGGACTTTGTACAAGGATGTGATGTTGGAGAATTTCAGCAACCTTGTGTTCCTGGGTGGGTTGTCTTTTTTAAAAATTGTTGCTGCCTTTTAAGACATGACTCTTCTAATCAGGACCTGCAGCTCCAGTACCACCAGCAGTGATTATTCCACGAAAGCCTCAACCTGAGGGAATTCTGTTCCCTCATGCACTGCCTCTTTCAATGCCATGAAGGGAATTCATATAAATGTCTACCCTTCTAAAGAACTCAAGATTCCAAGGTTAAAGCAAAAATTTTCTCTTCAGAGAGGCTGAATAGCAAGCAGCTCACCTTCTCTCCTGTCTCGTTTCTACTAAAATGCCCTTTCTTCTCCTAACCCCTACTTACAAACACTCCTCCCCCTGGCCTCCTCCTACCAATTCCAGTCAGGTGGTAGCTGCCTCAGCCTCCTGACTTCAGGTGAATTTTATTTAATCAGATAAATGTAACTCATTTTTGAATCATTAATCAAATCTCCCGGAGCATGAAGAAAAGAAGCACACCTTAAAGTAATATTCTATGACATGGGTGAGGGAACCTTCCACGGTGAACTCTTAATTGTCATCATCAAACTTGATTACTTTCCACAGTATCTCAAGGGAGCTTGTGCGTCCCACAGTGAAACTTGTGGTGCAGATTTTAGGGAAAATTAGGGAGAGTGTTCCTACACCTTAGAATGATTTTATTTCTTCTCGTGTTCATAACAGCTTCCCATCCTTTTTAGAGGTATCCTTTATATTGGGGGTAATGTCATAAAGTAAGGGCATGAGTGGGAAGCACACATGTTACAAAGAATACCACACTCTGCAATTTAAATATTTTTCCTTGTAACTGATAGACACTAAGCTCAGGACCTGTAAATCCTAAATTCCTCCTAAGCATTCTGATTGCTCATCAGGAAACTCATGGAGAACTAATGCTCTACAAGTCTTGTTTGTATCCTTTTATTCTATATACAGTTGTACAGAGGACTTGTGATTTCTAGGAGAACACACTAATAAGCATGTTTCTTTTCCCATGAACAGGACTTGCCTCCTCTAAGCCATACCTGGTCACATTTCTGGAGCAAGGACGAGAACCTTCAGACATGAAGAGACAAGCAGCAGCTGCCATGGAAACAGGTGTGTAGTAATGAGGGGACAGAGGCCAGGGTGAGAGGCCAGAGATCCAGCAGAATGCCAGGCTCTATCATCAGCACTGACTCACAAGGTTCTGATGGGCTTAGGCTTAAAGGATTTTGTTTGTGTTCTGCTGTGAGAAGAGGATGTTTATGATGCATTGATTCTGTCATGCTCTGTCCTTCTCCCATCAGGTCAGCTTATGTTTACAGTAACGGACCAAGTTTTATAATTTCTAGGTGAACATGATTTGTTTTTGTCAGTGGATTTTATTCATAAAATGGGCATACATATTTCTGTTATTTAATACTGTTATTGACAGGATTCTTCTTACACAGCTGAAGTTTAGTACCTTCCAAAACTAAATATCTGCATCTAGGATATTTATAAACTATTAATATGTGTTTTTCAATTTGGACTACATTTATACTTTGTATTCATCTAGACATAAAATTTATATATGCATTTAATGGCTCATTTACAATAGCATCATACTTTTGTTTTCTTAATTGTTGATGTTATGCCTTCCTTACATGTTTCACATTGATTAATATTCATTTCTTTGCATGCTTTTTATTGTTATTGCAAGTTATATAATTTTTTCCTATCAGGATGCTTTTAATTTGGCTGAACAAAATACAGCTATAGAAATTTGAATGTAACATTATTCAAAATGAAAATGCAGGTATGAGTCTATGTTTTTGTTCTTAAAACTGAATATAAATTTAAATAATTTTGCTTATTATTCATTCATTTCCCAACCTTTACTCCCCTTTTACAACCACTCTACAGACAAAGAATTTGGCATAACACTTCTGTGGAACTCACATCCTATTAGATACCAGAAAATTAATTTAAGAGTGAAGCCATATAAGTGTGAAGAATGTGGCAAGGCCTTCCGTATTCCATCGTTACTTTGTGAACACATGAGAATTCACACAGGAGAGAAGCCTGTCAATTGTGACATATGTGGCAAAGCTTTCAGAACTTCATCAGCAGTTTCTGTACACAAGAAAATCCACGCAGAAGAGAAACCCTACAGTTGTGAAGTATGTGGCAAAGCATTCAGAAGTCCATCCGCATTTTCTGTACACAGGAAAATTCATACAGGAGAGAAAGGATACAAGTGTGAGGTATGTGACAAGGCTTTCTATATTCCATCACAACTTTCTGTGCACAAGAGGATTCATACAGAGAAGCCCTACCAGTGTGAAGTCTGTGACAGAGTCTACAGTAGTTCATCGGGGCTTTTTCAACACAAGAAGATTCATATAGGACAGAAACCCTTCAAGTGTGAAGTATGTGGCAAGGACTTCTATTTCCCATCACGACTTTCTCTTCACAAGAGAGTTCATACAGGAGAGAAACCCTACCAGTGTGAGCTGTGTGGCAAGGCCTTCACTTTTCCGTCAGGACTTTCTCTTCACAAGAGGATTCATACATTAGAGCAACCCTACAAATGTGAAGTATGTGGCAAGGCCTTCTATGTTCCATCATTACTTTCTCATCATAGAAGGATTCATACAGGAGAGAAATCCTACAATTGCTAAAGTATGTGGAAAGACCTTCAATTGTCCTTCACAACTTTCTTTACACAAGAGAATTCATACATGAGAGAAACCCTACATGTGTGAGGTATTTGCAAGGTCTTCACTTTTCCACCAGGACTTTCTCTACACAAGAGTATTCATACATTAGAGAAACCCTACCAGTGTGATGTATGTTGCAAGGATTTCTATGTTTCATCAGTACTTTCTCAACATAGACGGATTCATACAGGAGAAAGATCCTACAAATATAAAGAATGTAGAAAAGCCTTAAATTGTCCATTAGCGCTGTCTAAACACAAGAGAACTCATTCAGGAGAGAACCCCTACAAGTGTGAAGTATGTGGCAAATCCTACAGTAGTTCATCAGAATTTTATGCACACAAAAATATTCATACAGGGGGGCTAGAGAGATGGCTCAGTGGTTAAGGGCATTGCCTGCTATTCCAAAGGTCCTGAGTTCAATTCCCAGCAACCACATGGTGGCTCACAACCATCTGGAATGAGGTCTGGTGCCCTCTTCTGGTCTGCAGACATACACACAGACAGAATATTGTATACATAATAAGTAAATAAATATTTAAAAAAATATTCATACAGGAAAAACCCCTAGAAGTATGAAGTATGTGTTGATGTCCCATGCTGTGTCACTACTTAAAAGACATGAGAGAATTTATATAGGCAAGAAACCATACAAGTATGAGGCAAGGCTTCTATGTTCCATCATGACTGTCTATACCCAAGAGCATTTAACTCACATTCAACATTCACACTAAAAAAAGCTTTCTAAGAATATTACAAAGAATTTAATGTTTGTTTGTTTGTTTGTTTTGTTTGTTTGTTTGGTTGGGGTTTTTTTGTTGTTGTTGCCGAGACAGGATTTCTCTGTGGTTTTGGAGCCTGTCCTGGAACTAGCTCTTGTAGACCAGGCTGGTCTCGAACTCACAGAGATCCGCCTGACTCTGCCTCCCAAGTGCTGGGATTAAAGGCGTACGCCACCACCGCCCGGCAAGAATTTAATGTTTTGCATCAACAATGTAACATCAAAATAATCACATTTTGATGTAGAGGAATCCTGTAAAACAAAGGAAACTCAAAACTACACACAAAGAAAATGAGAAAATAATATATACCAGAGAGTATAATAAATACCAATGGTAGGTTTTTTGACACACCTTCATATCAGGATACATTCTTTTTGAGAAGACGTACAGATACAAATAATGTGTAATGCCTTTAAATAAAATTCCATTCTGATCAACTCCCAGTGCATTTATGTTATGTAGAAACCTACTCATGACTTTGGCAGTAATTTTGTTTGACATATTCACTCCATAACCTATTTTTTAAGAGCATGAACAATTTACTGAAGATGAAGATTGTTATAGAATTTTTGATTAGAGTGTCTTTGCTGAGATTGCCATATTTACTGTAAAACCTGTGTGTCCTTGTTAGGTGGTAACTCACTACAAACACCTTTAATCCAAAAGCTTTGTCCTTGAATATTGTAAACAGGGTTAAATAAAGTCACCTAAACATCAAGAAATGGAGCAAGAAAACAGGTCACAGGAAGTGAACGTAGGATTAAACCAAGAGAGTAAGAGGGTGTAAGGAGGGCCGATAGATGCACAGGAGTAGAAGGGAGGGACGTTGGATTTGAGTAGTCTAGTCTGAGATGGCATAGGCCGAGGGGAGTTGTTTTAGGATATCAGCTGAGGAGAAAGGTCAGGTGGGTGCCTTCGATGCCCCCGCCCCCCGAGCTAGCAGACTATGTCATGTTCGGGTGAAGCTGGAAGAGCTGAGGCACGTAAATACTCTGGAGTCAGCAGCAGTGCAGCAGACGGTCCAGATGTCAAAACTGGACCTGTCAGGGTGTGTTTGGCCTTTTGTGTTTTCAGCCGGTCCATCCTTGCTGTGCTGTTTCTTCTGAGTTGAATCAGTTGTTGGTTGCATGCCAGTGTGTGGTAGAAGTAGTCACTTGTTTTTCTGTTGTGGGAGGTCACAGTCACAGCTAAGGAATTGCCTTGAGTCTCATGTGAGTGTAAGGTTGGGAAAAAAAGGAAAGAATGTTACAATTTAAATTTATGAAGCCATAGCCAACATGATGGTTATAGAAGGAAACGTGATTTCCAACAGAGCACAAAACGTTATTTGTACCCCAGTGTACTCACAGTAGAAAGAGGGAATTACCTCTGAAGGTTGTCCTCTGATCTCCATGTTTAGGCCCACACATAATGCATACATACAAATGTACATTAAAAATAAATTTCAAATATGCTTTTAATTTGTGTTTGTGTTTCCTGTAGATAAGGGGTGGAGAATTAATGCTAAGACTCCATTGGAAACTCAGTGAGATATAGAATAATATGTTAGACAACCTCTTTTCATTTCTTTGCAGGGGTTATATTGGTTAATTGAAGTCAGAATGCTGCTGATTCTGTGTATAAACATCTGTTTGATGAGATCCTCCATACTATAAGGAAGAAAACTGCCTGGAAAAGAAAAGTTCTTCTATCCTGTTTGGATGGAACATGATCATCTGTTCCAACAGTTACTGTTGTCTTAGTTTCTCCCCATGTCTGGTGATTTGAATAAGTATTGCCTCGTGTGTTGTCTGAGGTTTCCGTCCCACCAGGTCCCACAACCATTTAGTCCCAAATAAACACACAGAGGTCTACATTTATCATAAACGAATTGGTCCATTAGCTCAGGCTCCTTATTAACTCTTTCTTACATCTTATATTAGCCCATTATTCTTGTCTGTGTTAGCCACATGGCTTGGTAGTTTTTTTTTTTTTTTTTTTTTTTTTGGCAAGGTAGTCACACCTTGTGTCCTCTGCATCTGCAGACTTCCCCAAATTCTCATTGCCGTGCCTCTATTTTCTGCCTCTACTTCCTGCCTGGCTACTGGCCAGTCAGCATTTATTTACAATATAATTGACAATGTACAGACCATTGTTCCACAGCACCAAAGGACTCATATATTTTATTTCTTAGTCATTGGGAAAGATTATCTCTGAAAAGGATTAAGAATTGTGACCTTTAAAATGTACTTGCTCCTCCCAAGACAGAATAACTTCTATACCAGGGCACAACTTCATTATCATGAACAAGGCTCTCATCTTGCAAAAAAAGATTCTTTAGACTCTGCCTTTCCTAAAATGTAAAGACTGAGAAAATAACTTACCTTTTTATTTCAGAGTTTCATAAGTAATTATATTGAAAATATGTCCCCAAATATTCCGTTTCTTCAAAATAATTGCTCATGTTTTCAAATATGTCAGGATGTCAATTTTAAAAAGTACTGTGACCTTATTAAATGAGGTATGTCATGGGGAGCACTATGAGGTGTCAAAAGCCAAATCTAGCCCCCATGTTTCACTCTTCCTCCTACCTAAAGACCCCAATGAAAAACTCCATCACCATGTCCACTTATATGCCTTCAATGCCTCTCGTCAATATGATAATTGGGTAAACTTCTAACAATGTAAGCAAGCTCCAATTAAATGCTTTCTTTAACATAGTTGCCATATCATCAGGTCATTCACAGCAATAGAACACTGATTAAAGCAGAAGCTGATAGCAGAGAGCTTGATATTTCTATGCATGGCCCGACCATGATCTTGTTTGGTGGAATATGGAAGAATTAGGATAGACTTTATAGTAGAAAATTGATTTAAGACTTTTGAACAAGAAGGAGCCATTGTATTAGGCCATGTCTCCAAAACTGAACTAGACTGGGGAGGTGGATAAAGAGCTTGTTGTGCAGGCATGAGGACCTGAGTTCAGGTCCTTGGTGTAGCAACAGGTGTCCATAACATCTGGGCAGAGGTAGAGACAGACATGTTGGAGGAAGTATGTGCTTAGGGATGGGTTTTGAGTTCTCACATCCCAAAGCCAGGTCCCAAGCCATGTCTTGTTCTTCATGTTTTCTATGGCTCTGGATCTTGAACTTCCAGCTACTCCTCCAGCACCAAGTCTACCCGTGTGCCACACTGCTTCCCACCATAATGACAGTGGACTAAACCACTGAAACTGTGAGCAAGCACAATCACATGCTTTCTCTTAGATTTCCTGGCCAATCTGTCTCTTCTCAGTAATAGCCCCACAGGTTAAAGGATGAAGACATGTTTACCCCAAAGTTGTGGCCCTACTACCACCTTCACCAAGCTCATCAACTCAGCCTCAGGGAGGAAGTTTCCTCAAAAGCATTCCAAAGCCCTGCCTGGGGAGACAGGAGTCAGGCTCCTATGGTGCCTCAGCTCAGCAGAGGATTCCTCTCTGTGCCTAGCCTGCTGTGTTTGTGTTTCCTCAGCCCTAAGCAAACCCTTCTTTTCCTGTGGATTCTCCCTGCCCTGGTTGATGTTTTCCCATTAAGTTACATGTTGCAGTTGGGATATTTTTCCTTTTAACTCTTCATCTGCCAGAAAAACAAGGAACCAAGCCAGATCAAGAACCCCCCTCCCTCCTACTGTAACACTGCAGCAGAAGAATGCTCTTTCCACTCACCAGCCTCCACAAGCCTTTCTTTCATTTTGTTGTGTTGCTCTTTTTAGTGTTGTGTGCTAAACCCAGGACCTCCTGACTTCAAGGAACCTGCACCATCACCAGCTACCTCCCATTCATTTTTGTTCTTTTATTTCATTACAAGGCTTTCTTTCTTTCTCTCTTTTTCTTTCTTTCTTTCTTTCTTTCTTTCTTTCTTTCTTTCTTTCTTTCTTTCTTTCCTTTCTTTCTTTCTTTCTTTCTTTCTTTCTTTCTTTCTGTTTCTTTCTTCCGTTCTCCTTTGCTTGTTTCTTTTTTAATTCTTTCTTTCTTTGTCTGATCTTCCTTTCTGCCTTCTTCCACCCTCCCCTCCCTCTCATTTTACACAGGGTTTCTCTGTGTAGCCTTGGTGATCCTGGAACTCGCACTGTAGACCAATCAGGTCTTAAACTTACAGTGAGTCACCTGGCTGCTAGAATTAGGGTGTGCATCACCATCTCCCAGCATATAGGAGGCTTTCTTTTTTTTTTAATATTTACTTACTCTGTCTGTGTGTATGCCTGCGGGCCAGAAGAGGGCACCAAACCCCATTACAGATGGTTGTGAGCAACCACGGCTGGGAATTGAACTCAGGACCTTTGGAAGAACAGGCAGTGCTCTTAACCTCTGAGCCATCTCTCCAGCCCTAGGAGGCTTTCTTAAATTGCACAGGTCTCCTTAAATTTCTCCTTCTAAAGGCAGAGATTGCTCATTTTAATCCTTTCCCGAGGTCACACGCCTCTAGTGTCTCTGGGAATTCTTTTACACAGACTTGTGGGAAATGTAGTCTCATCCATTGTGGCAAGGATTGCCGTGTGGCCTTCCGAGTTCCTTTGGCGCACGTTCCGCCCTCAAGCAGCTTCAATTTGGATTCAAGTGTTTTACTATCCTGCTGAAGCTGGATCTCTGAGCTCAGGTTGGTTCGGGGTGCAGGGCAGCCCAGCAGGTCTGAGGGATCGTGCAGGGGGAGCCGGTAGGTCCATCGTGGAAAGAGTGGGCATGGGGCCATGGGAAGCAGGAAGAAGCTCATTTTGGAGGTGCTGTTCCAACCTAGGCTGCCCGGCCTAGTCAGGATTTAGGTCCGCGCTAGGGAGAGGGCAATGGGGTTGGTTCTGGGTCTTCTGCTACTCCAGTCGTCCTGGGATCTCGCTCCTGGACAGGGCGGGTCGGCTGCCGGCCCCCGAGGCTGTGCAGGGAGCTCACTGTCCAGTTCCTCCAGGGAAGCCTGCTGCTACCAGCGGACTCACTCTGAATGGCTGTAGTCAGGATTCTCATTGGTCTAGAGAAGAAAGTGGAGTTTCTTGTCCCTATTGCACTGTATTATTATTTGGTTATAATAAGAGACCTAGGAAGTTACGTGGGTAGTGTTATTAGACAAAGTGAAGTTTCAGATAACGACACGACGGTTATTTTACTGGGGCTCCCAAACCTGACTAGCTGACTAGTCAGGGAGAGGCGCTGGGCTCCCAAACCTGACTAGCTGACTAGTCAGGGAGAGGCGCTATCCATGCCCCTAGTGAATTTTATCACAGATCTCTGCAAAATTGAACGCAGAGAAGGGTCCGTACATAGACAGACGTAGTTCCAGATATGAACCTGACATCTCTTCATTACTAGTTTGTGCACTAGAAGCTTAGAATAAAAGAATGCCTTTATACTATAGAAAACCATTTCTTTAATAGGGTGTAGGTTCTTGTGCGCCTCCAGGAATCACCTCTGTTGCCAGAGTCTGATCATGTCTATGACTAAGAGCAAGCACTAAACTAAAAGCAAGCAAAATCTGTTACATTAACCGTGGTCATTAAAGCTTTAAGATTTCATACATAGAGCTATATTAATCTTCAAAGTGTAGGACAATTTCAATTTTGAGGTCAGGAATTCCCTCCTACTAGGTAACGGGATATATAGAAAAAACTGTGAAAAAAAGAACATAGAAGAAAGAGCAGAACTAATTGAGTATTTTCAATTAAATATTAAAGTGAATATCCAGCTGGTACTGTAAATGATACAAAAATGTGAAAAATCCCAATGCATCACAGTTGCAGGGAAAACTAACTGGGAGGCGCTAATTTTTACTACATTCTGCAGATCCTCTGATGGAAGAGATTCTCTGGCTGTATGAAACATAATACAGTTGAAAATCTGAATATACTTAAATTTCTTTTCTTTTCTTTTTTTTGTTTTTTTGAGGCAGGGTTTCTCTGTGGTTTTGGAACCTGTACTGGAACGAGCTCTTGTAGACCAGGCTGGTCTTGAACTCACAGAGATCCGCCTGCCTCTGCCTCCCGAGTGCTGGGATTAAAGGCATGCGCCACTATTGAAGGACGTCCACGTTATTTCCGATTACTGATAATGATGAATAGAGTGGTGTGGATTATCCTTCTGTGTGTTTTAACTGGTTAGTTAATAAAGCAGTTTTGACCAATGGTTTAGCAGAATAAAGCAGGGCGGGTCTGAATGATTTCAAAGGCTTTATCACATTCACCCTATTTGTAGGGTTTCTATCCACACTATTTCTCTTTTGATATCTATTAGAGTCTGAAGAAGTAGAAAACATTTCATGAACATTTTGGCATTTGTATTATTTTACTGAAGTTTAACCTACTTTGTCTTGAGAAACAGTAAAAACCCTATTAGAGGGCTTTTTTTTCTTTACATTTTTGACACTAGTGACATTTCTAGTCTAATTTTAAATTAACCCATTTCTAGTAATCTATGGATCACTGTGAGGCTGTGCCTTACCAATAATGTTCTGGTATCTTTCTCCTTTGTTGGCTACATGGCTTCTCCTTGATGCTACCTGCTTT